AGAGTGTTTGGAAGAGAAAATTCCAGAAACCCATTTCTATCTTTTCCTGCTCTCCCTTCAAATCTCCAACTCTGTGCATTGTGGTGATCCCTTAGCTCAGACAGATTTGATGCAAGTCTCTCCAGCTTTCATGAATACAGAACTTTCTGCTGGTTAGCATCTGCTGTAACGTTTTCTTAAAGCAAGGGGTGCTTTCTCTGTTAAGAGTAAATTAGGCTGCAAGTCCCTTGACCCTTAATGGTCCGAGAAGTCTTGGTCTTCATATCCTACATCCAGACTGACATATTACTCAGTAGCACAATTCATTGTTTTACAATTCAACCCTTTGGCAGTGGACTCCTCTTACTGAGTTCTGGTATTATTCCTTCTAACAGCAGCTTTTGCACTAGTTTTCTTTTGAATGCAGACAGTTTGGTTAAGTGATACATGACCACTAGAGCATGAACCTCTCTATCTGTGTGCTTTTATGACACATATTAAACACCCAGGTCTTGAGTACTGCATTGTCCTGATATAAACAACAACTATGTCTAAGAGAATCATTAGACGGTCCTGAAAAAACCCGTAATTTTAATAGAATGTGAATGTTGTCAGCAATTGCCGTTGGCAAACAGCCTTATACCAGAATCCGTTCACTGTAAAAGTAAACTGGTTTATGACAAAACTCTCTAGGATAAAGTCTAATCTTTTAGTAATTCCTTAAAAACAAACACTCAGGAGGGAAAAATTTGAATTGAACATTTTAAGGGTCATGTACTTCCTGATCTTGCACACCAGTAGCTGGAAGCACCACAGTATGCTTGCATGGTAATGCCAGGGCTGACAACATGACAGTATATTATTGACATGTCTCAATTCCTTAAGCTGAACTGTGTTGTTACTCTGGAATAATACTAAGTAATACAAATATAATTTTGAATTGCAATTGTACAGAATCTGGTTTTGGTACAGAAGAGACAGCCAAACCAGGATAAACAGGAACCACCTTACTTATGTCTTCCCTCATGCATTTTATATATGTATATATATATATCTTGTTAACTGCAAAATGAAATTAAAATATCCTATATAATCCTTTTCGGGGCTTTGCGATGGGAATTTGTAGGACCGTGAAAGAGCCACTACACTCTGAAGACAGGAAAGATAGTACACTAGTACATAGTACAAGTCTAAATGAAGTCAGATTTCAAGAAGATCAACATAAATCACAGAGACAGGAAAGGAGGAAAGCCCACTCATTAGTTTATGCAACAAATCATCCTATTGAACTACAGGTAGTAAGTAGAAAACTTCAAAGATTCCCTTTCTTACCTCTACTTGTTTTGCTTTGGGACTATCAACTGGAGATGGAGGAAGAACACTGTCATTAGATGACTGGATAGGGATGGATGGCTTGCACGGACCTAGGGAAAGCAAAAATGTTTCCAAAAATCCCATGAGATTGCTAGTGTTCTATTTTATTTTTTTTTTTGTTACACACAGCAAGTAGTGACAAATTTCTCAGCTTTTTACAAATTCTAGATTGGACATCTGGAACAAAGACTAAAATTTTTAAATGTCCAAAACGGTACAAGCTTTTTAATGCAAAAACTTCTACAAGAAAAAGCAGATAGATGGGTTCTAATGCTTTAGGAAGCTGTAATGAACGGATTCAGAACATTCTTCTCAAAATGTTAATGCAAGCACACACCTTGCCACTGAGAGTAGTGAGATGGTTCAAATTCAAGAGACTGTCTTCTCTTAAATCTAATAAATGTACAGACTATCTCAAATGCAATTACAATCATTCAAACACTAATGGGAAAGCTATTACCTTCTGTCACACCACAAGAAGCACCTTCGGCTCCTTGTTCATCTTCAGAGACTTCTAGTTCTTGCTCTTCTACGCCACCTTGATGTAAGCGAAACTCCGCTTCTGCATCAGATGGGATGTCATCTGATCATGGATGGGGTGGGGGGAAAAAAACCCAAGAGATCTTGGATACAAGTCCACCAGGACATCTGTTTATTATTTAAAAATCTTTCATAATCCTTTCTTTCTATTCAGATGGTGCTAATCATTTTCATAACCTGAACACCTAAATGTTTCACTCCTTTTTTTTGTGTGCTAATTAGAGTCATTTAAGCAGCAAATGATGGACTATTAGTACAACTAACTAAATAAGTAATTGAAGCCACACCTTACATACCTTCCCTTTCTGGAAATTTGTCAATGTTTTCTGGCATATGCAGTTCATTTTACACTATCAAGAGAAGATTTTTACCATAATATTGTGGACTTCTCACAAATTTACTTCTATTTCTGTTATTCAGCAGAAACAGTACTGAATACGGACATAAGACCGAGCCCTCTAGTCAGCAGATGGTGAGAAGACATGAGAAATTTAGTCTACAACCCATGGCACTGAGGTTCTTTCTTTTTGTTCTTCACTCCTGGCTCCCTCTTGACTATTTGAAGCAAACTCCTACATCACTAAAAATAAGATCAGGTTTAAGCACCCTCATACAACTTCTTTTCTGCCAATACAATTCTGTTCACATAACAGGTGTAAATGATGCACAGTGGTACCCTACCGTCATCCAGCTCTGCACCCGTGTCTCCCTCTTCACCTGCCTGCCCTTCTGTGTCTGCAGGCTCTGTGCCCAGCTCATCCTCCACATCATTATCCTCACATGGAGCTAGAATATATTCAAATATTGTTGAAAAAAAAGAAAAACAACAACAACAACAAACTATACAGTGAAAAGGTTCTACATTGAACTGTAGCAACAGTTTATAGTGGAGACATTTATTAATTACTGCCAAAACAAGTCTATGGTGAAACGATGCTTCCAGACTCCAACGAATCAAGGAACAGTGGCCCCTGAGGGAGTCTGCAAGGCATTTGCAGTGAAAGCAGCCAGGGCTCTTCTGAGCAACGGGACTTGTGAAAAATTAAACAAGAAGGGGACTGGGAGGACATCAAAATAGAGTAAATAGGAAGATTGTTTCTTTTCTTTACCACACCAGAACAGTCACCAGCATTTTATAGCATATGTATATTAGGTGAAAACTGAAATTTCACAATGTACCACAACTGTTCATATTGAAATTGAAACAGGCTTTTGAGGGTGTAAGTCAGAGACAGAGTCCAGCTCTGTGATTGATCATTACTACATTCGGAAGCTGTTTAACTCTGTGCAGCTACAGTAGTCTTTGGTAAAAGAGTCTAAGAGACTTGATATGCTGTACAAGTAGCTAAGACACAAATTAATTGATATTTTAAAGTAAATAAAAATATTTTATTTTCTGTTATGGATCATAATTTGACTTGCTGGATCAAAATAAAGAAAAGATTATTGAACTTATAACTCGGAAAAGGGCATTTGACATTACTACTTATGACAGGATTTAATTACAGAAGAGATAAGACCAAACTATGGGGTCTAAATTTCATTATTAAATTAAACTTTTTAAAAAACCTAAACCTTATGACACCTTGTCCCATCTCTAGTGCTATGAATTATTTGCTTCATTTTTTTTGTTAAGCATTTTCATTAAACATAATTTAAATATAAAAAAAGAAGCGAGCACTTCCAGGTTTTTTTCCACAGTAGAGTCATACAACTACATTTTTATGTTTGTACAGCGAGTTAGCATCAATTCATGTTCAACAGCATACAGACATTTAACTCTGTTGTATATCCTATTGCAAATGCATACACAGTCAGCATGTATTATGCATGTTTGCTAATTATATGCAGGATGTGGTCCTATAACGATGGTAACATATATTTATAACCTTCTCGGTTGCACCTATACCAGTAAGCTAAGCAGCGCAAATCTCTAGACCTGAATTTATACAAGTGTCATGCTGTCATCTTTACGAGGGCTCCTGGCATGAGTCCCAGCAGTTATTTCCCATGGTAAGGCTAGAGGCTGTTTCCAATAGGCAGTGTGCATGTAGCACCCTGATTCTGGATGGCAAAAAAAGTTTAGCCATGTGGGAGTGAATCATGCTGTGACGGCTTTCTCCTGAGTCAGGGAGGGAGTAGGCCCTGATCCTTTTTGTTTACTAGTGACAATGTGGCTTTTGGAACCATTTATATGCTAGTGCTGCTAATTAAGACAATCTTAAAAACAAACCAACCCTCCCTAAAACTGAGGTCTTGCAGCCTCTCCTCTTTCTCCAATACAGGTTTTTGCTTATTTCAAGACACAGCCTTCAGTGGGTGGTTTATCTTCTACAACCTGAGAATTTATCTTTTTCCATGCTTCTCCCTTCCGTAGTATTAAGACAGACAAACACATGGGCTAGTTTATTTTCTGTCAACTGCTGTGAAAAGGTAGTTACACCTATGTGTGATAAAGCACTGGCCTATTCCCTTATAGGTTTATAAAATCCAGAATCTTACAGATGTTGAACGTAGGAGACTGAATCATATGGCAAAGGCTGGACTGACCACAGGGGCATTTACAAATCTACAGAACAAAACCAAACGGTGTCTCAGTCTGATTGTTGCTTAGGTATGCAATAGCTTATGTTATTTTGGAAATAGTAATGTCATGGGATGGTTTTATGGTAGCAACAAATGTCACTAATCTTAATCTTGCAAAAATGTAACTCTGATGTTATGAATATCTGATACCACCACATTTATGTGTGTCTTCAGATCCAGAAACCATGAACTAGCATGACACACATCGTTAGTGTTGGAGAGAGAGGTTGATACACAAAACTCAATAGAAGATTACAGATGCATTAAATAAGTAACAACTTGGTGCAAGGGTGGATCCCATTTTGAGGGACATGAAGAGCTTGCAGGTGGCTGGTTATATTATACATATACTGTGCATATACATATATGCAGTTAGGATAAGGAGCAAGAGGCCAAAAGCTGTCACACAATAATTCAGAAGCTACACGCTATGGCAGCCAGAAACTGGGATCAGCACTCGGTTCATATCAGCCAGCAGCTGTGAGCAGACTGCATCGTGTGCAGACATCTTGTAAACCCTGCTGCCCTGCCAAAGCAGCAGCAGAAGCAAAGTTTTATAGGCAAGCTAGCTATTCTGATGTGCCAAAGCAACTTAGCTGTAGATCAACTACATAAACAGAAACTACTGCTGTTCCACTGATTTAGATATCTTCACCACTTCACACAAATTTACTCCCTTACTCTAATCCCAGAATCTTCATGCTCATTGGTTTTGTAATAGAGCTAGGGGACCATATAAAAAAAGTAGCTGAGCTCTACTGTCCTTCAACATTCCTGAGGCTTTCCTAAATAACGTGAACCCCAAGACAAAGGAAACACAACAGCCATTGCTATTCCTAAAGATCCCAGCTTCAACCTTATTCTTCTCTCTTGTCGTCTTCGCCAGATAACTAGAGTTTGCAGTTGTTACAGAGAACTGCAATTGCTTTAAGCACTCTCTGTCACTTAATCTTTCGACTTCAAGAAAGCCCCATGTTCTTTCAGTCAAGGAGCTAGGGCAGGAATAACTGGTCCAGTCGTCTGTTTACAAAGCAAATTGGATTCCTCCTACCTTATTACACCCAAGATAACCTCTCTGCTTGGCCTGCCTTCCCAAGGGTTACAACAAATGTTGAGTTCATGCAAGAATAGACTATCTGAGCAAGGCGTGCATGCACACTCCCCCTTCCTCCCTCCACGTCCAGTCATGCAGTAGCGACAGGGCTGTAAGTTCCAGGGTTAAAGTACCAGCTCAGCTGCTGAAGGCATGGAGAAGAGACGGGCAGGGTTATTGTGCATTGGAATACATAGAACATCACCAAACTACCTCCAGGGACTGTCTCCAGCCACGCCTGTACCGCCTCATGGCGTATGGAAGGAAGGTCGGATGCTGAATTTAAAAAACAATAAATTGTAAGAAATTGAAATTAGACCATCAATAAGCGTCTAAAACAGAAGAGTAACAAAGGGAAAATTTTCAGTAGCAAATACAGGAATAAAACCTGAGATGTTAAACAACCAATTCCAGGCTTCGTATTTAAATCAAGAACATACAAATATCAGGGGCCTAATCTTCCTTTAGGATACGTAACATTACAGGAAATACAGATGGCCAGTGAGAAAAACATGGCATCTGACCAGCAGGTTGCTACTGCTGTGCTCCACTTGAAACTCTGCAGAGAAGTGAAACTAAGAGATGAAAGAGCTGAGAACGAGAGAGGGGCAGTCATAACAGGCATTCCAGAACCTGCACTGCCTGGGTGTGAATGCCAGCAGATGAAGAAGAGCACCCAAAGCAGAAGAAGAGGGGCTTCTGTGTACTGTCACTCTATTCCAGGCTTTCACATTAACCCCGATGGCCACTGCTACTGATGGGCTCTCCAGTTAGTATCACAGAATGCAGCTCAGCCAGAACAAATCAGGCTACTGAACTCAGGTTGAAAACTTACAGTTATCCACAAGTACTTATTGGTGACAACCCTTTAAAAAACAAAATTGCTGATACACCTGCACACACCTGTACTGTAAGACAAAGTAATTGAAGCAGCTAATCTATTGATCAGGATTGTCCTAGTTTGCCCTAGTTTTAGGGGAAGGAAAGGAAATACTGCATTCCTCCCCAAAGGAAGCTGAAAAGACCACAAAATCAATTTTGGAAGGATCATCTCTTGCTGGCAGCTGTACCAATACACTATGGAAAATTAGGAATTATAAAATACAAATTAAAAGAAAAATTTGGAAACTATAGTGATACTTTCAAGCAGAAGCTAAAGCAATTTTAACTGTAGTAAGCTTAAGAAATTGTGTTAACATTTTTTACTTAGCTTTTTTAAACATTAAGCAACGACACTAGCAATACTGAATGTTACAGACAGTTGAACACAGCCTATTTCTGTGGTTGCAGTGGGAAGGAAATACTCATCTCTCATTTATAGGGAGCAGATTTCACATCAGAAAGTCCCAGTGCATTCTACAAACTGCAATTATAAGTGTGGCCAAACTGATCTGGAACTGTGTATCAAGTTGGACTAAGATTAAAAAAAACCCCAAACATCTAGAACTATGAGGAAAAGATAATTATCTGGAATGGAATATGATCACGCAACATGAGGTAAAGCCCTAGGCTTTTAAAACAGAGATCAGCCATTAACTTAATTTCAGATTTGCTGTAAAAGACACCCCTTCCAACAGCATACTTACTACTCCTACAATTCTAGCCACAACGGTTACAGACTGAGAGAAGACCGCTACTCATCAACTACATGGTTAACTTTTATTAAGCCTAGGCTTCTGCATAGGTCAAGCACCTATGACATACTTACCTTCAGACACTCTGTAATATGGTCTAGAATAAGGTCAGCAGGGACTGCTGGAAGGCACTTACAAGAGGGCTAGACCATTGGCATTTTCGCCCTCCAAAGTGTTCCTTTAAGGAACTGACAACTCACAAAGTTCACACCTCACTTTAAAAAACTGATATACTGTCAAATCTTAGGCACAGGGAGTCAAAACCACCACTGATCAGATTTGCAAGCCCTTTGAACCCTGTCATTCCCTAATACCAGATGCAGTTACACACTTTGAAAAGCAGCAGCAGAGAAATACGCTCACTACAGAAGCTGACTGTCTTCAACCTTTGCTGTAGTAGCTACACAACACAGCTCTTCAGCTTTTCCTAAAGAGGCATAGAGTTCTCACTGCCACAAAAAGCACATAACAGCTTCTATTACTATCCCTGAAGTTAGTTACCGAGGGCTGATTGCCAGCACTATCAAATCACTTTCGTAGTATGGAAAAATGCTATGGAGTCAAAGCAGGCAGACAAATGGGTCAAAAGAAGTCATACCACCATAGAGTTCAGAAAGCAGTCATTTTAAGTAGACACTGACCTGAAAAGCAATATGTTTAATCCAGTGTAATTTCAGTATAATTTGAAAGTAGTTCCTTTCAAATCACTGCTGCCCCTGCTGAAGTACACTGCTCTTGAAGGGCGCAGAAGCAACAGAGTTAAACAGCTGCAACCATGATCCAAGAACTGACAGTGCAGGCCTTGGGGGAGATTACCTCTGGAGGTGGAGGACTTTGAGGTTGGGACCATTTTTTCCTCCTCCTCTTTTTCACGGATGTGTGTCCAGTGCACATCTGCCAGGATCTCCAGAGGATCAACCGGATTTACAATCTGCTGCAGTCTAAGGTTTCCAGCTAGCAGGAGGAGGGCATGGCATACCAGGTTGTAGGCAGAGTTTATGAAGGACAGGGAGGAAAGGATGGGAGAACAGTGGAAAGGAAATGTAACACATCATAGGAAAGGAAATAAGAAAAGAAGAAAAGAAAATATTACTGGCTAAGATCAGTTTGCAAGACAGACAGAAAAAGCTCAGCATTGTGTGTGCACACATACACCAACCAGCACAGCGCTCCTCATACTTCCCATCAACGCTGAATAATGCCATTTCAAAGGCAGAGAGATGCTATTAAAAACATCATGGTAGATTATCTCTATTGCAGGCAGCTCTGTTGAAATTAAAGACATTCTCTGGGTGTCCAACAGTACGTGGTATGTAAATACCAATTTAGCAGAAATTTCCAGTTCCTTCAGCCTATTCATTATGATTATTGACAAAGACATCTTGCTGTTAAAGGTAAGGGACAATCTGCATTGTAGTTTGATGCACCAAAACAAAAGGTCTTTCATTCCCTACTATTGGGTTTAGCACTCCTTTCTGTGCTAGGTACATATTTCGTTGTGAATTAAATTACATGATGGATCTCAGAGTTTCACACATATGTGGGTATCTGCATATGCACACATGGGCACACACTTTAGCACTTAAAACACTACTTTGTTTACTCCTGCTCTTTTCTACTGACTGGATGAAGGGTAGAAATTTTTGCTGAAGAATAACAGCATTTTCATCATGACTTAACAGCCCACCCCCCCACCTCCCCAGAAGGCACTCCTTGTCGCACAAATAAATTTGTTTAAAAGAAGTTGCATTACTCCTCAATTACCTGCCTACACAAACCTACACAAAGCTCAGATACTTATGGAGTGTCAAAGGAACAACAGGCACCTAAAGCAACTGATAAGCAGCTTATTTACCTGCTGCAGAATGCCCACCTTGGGAGCATCTACCCTGAGGTATTGTGTTTATAGACCCTGTCTCTATTGCTATCTGCTATGGGACTATAACTCAGGTTTTGTTTACCCATAATAAAATAACTCATTCTATGGGGCACAGGTGTTCAGCATCTCCAGGAGTGGTCTTCAAAAGCAAACGACTCATAGAATCATAGAATGGCCTGGGT